CATAATCAACACTCGTCAATCAACCAAAATCAAAAGAGTTTCGACAAATAAACATCCACAGTTCCACAAAATATACATTCAAGGAACTCCATATTCATCATCCACAAAAATGATTTATTATTATTATTATTAAAAAGAGATACACGAACGGAAGAGTGAAATGAATCAACAGATTCCGTAGAAATTGGAATCGATTCGTAAATTGCAATGATAAGAACAAGAGTGGGGAACGCAGAGAGACCTGGTACTCATTGATGTTGAGGCGGCGGAGCTGGTTGTGCTGCCACTTTCCAACGATGGAGAGGGAGCGAGAGACGAGCTTGTTGAGCAATCCTCTCACCATAGTTGTTAAGGATTTGGAGATTGGAGAGTGACGCTATCTGAATGAATTTTGAATCGATTCTACGATGCGAACCTATCTCTGCCTTTAAACTCCTTCAATTCGACATTCAAACACTGTGCAGCCTAAGGCAGGAGCGAAGACCAGACCCTAGAAACACCCCTATAATGGGAAGCGGTGCGGGCGTCGTCAGGGCTTAACTTCTCGCCTCTCTTAAGGGTCTTGACTTGGCCCATGACGAGGTTCGTGTCGGCGCCCTTCACCACCATGCCTGAGGGTGAGAACGATTGGGGCTAGGGTTAGGGGCTTTGCGTCGTGACCGTGAAAACAATCGTGGGAGCGAAAAACAGAGATTAGGGTCTCAATTCTACATCGGTTGTAACGAAAACCGATGTAGAACAATTCCTAGATTTCATTACTACATCGGTTATTCATAAACCCGATGTAAAATTTCTCATATTTACATCATTTCTCCTCTCAACCGATATAAATATGTTTGTATTTTCTATTTATTTACAAGTTTGCCACCGCATTTATAATTTACATCGATTCTACTAGAACCAATGTAAATATGGCGATGTTAAAGAGTGTTTTTGTAGTAGTGTATGCTACTGAAGCAACATAACTAGAGTAGTGTAGGAGTACATGCAGGGCCCAACCCATGCACTCTCAACTAGAAGGATGTACTACTAGGGTCTCATCAGGATAGTGAACCCGCGCGTAAGATATGTCACATGCACACAAACGGGTAGAATTAGGTCTTCCAAATTGCGTTATCCCTTATGACTCCTCCAAGATGTTTCACAAGGAAAGCTTTCCTTGATGATGTACTCCATATCCTACCCCATCACATAAAATATGGTCACATTCACAATGTCAAGGACTCTTCACTTTACTTGTCACGATATTTCATGTCTTATCTCATTTCATCACGTTTAACATTCTCATAGTCATAATCATATGGTCACATACAATTAGTTCTCAAATTCATAGTATTCACAACAACACATACTTCACATTAGATCAGTAGTTATACATTACACAATCAATTAACCATTTATAAGCATATAAAACATGTAAAACATCAATTGGGGTCACACCTGACACGTCCCAACTAATGCTCAATGAATTAAATATGGCACAAAAAAGCAGAGCAGCAAGCCTGACACACCCAGAGCGCGCTCAGCGAATTTAATGGAATGCCTAAAGTGGGGAAACTCACCCAACGCAGCTTCACACGTGCCCGGCTAGACTTCCTATGCCTGAGCAACTTTGCTATGCCCGGTTCAACTTTCCTACTCCTGATACGAAGAACCGCACCCCTGGCACCCCAATGCGAACCTACAAAACTAGACTTTACAATCACGCGATTTTTCACATATAAGCACATATTTACACAATTTATTCAGTACAAATACTTCAAAGAACGTCCAAAACACAAATCCATACTGAATTTCACATTAAATACCTTAATTCTTTTCAAATGATCATGTCCCTAATTATTTCTCATAGGGTTTCCTAAAGGAACCTATAAACCATTCTAATCTATATCAAAACATATCCAATTTCAAAATTAAACACACATTCATGCTCAACATTCATCAAGGAACACAACTGAAGCACCAAACATTCAAACTGTGACACCCTTACTACCCCAACACATATATTGTAATAATGTCAATAAACTAAGGAAATAAATTTTTCAACATTGGTAAAAGGGTTCACATAAAAATCTTTACAAATGTTCTTCAATATCCAAAAATGAATAAAAATTGAAAAATAAAACATAAGAGTTTACAAATAAGTACAACTCTAAATCCATATAAAAATTCCATGTCCTAGAAATTCTCTGGCCCGATGTCACAACATCAGAGCATACCCATAATTCAACTGTTGGAATTCTAGATGCCGCTCATAGCCGGATCTTCCTCACCTAAAACATCCACAAATTATACGGTGAGAAAAGAAAACATCTATATGTAAAGCACACAAGAAAAATCCACAACATCGTCTCATCATAACTCATTACTTAATGGAATATTTACAAGCATTTTTATATATCCTAATTCTATTAATCATGCATCATTCACATCACAATTCACAATCACACCAATCCATCACAAATCTTGCAATTAACACTAGGTCAAGGTCATGCCTGTAGCATCTCTTGCCTAAGGCCGTGCCACCCCCGACATAAGTATTAATTGCCTCAAACATCTCACATTATGCCAAGGTCACGCCTGTAGCATCTCTTTCCCACGGTCGTGCCACCCCTAACATAAGCATGAGAAATCACACA